AAATTTCTTCTTTATAAATAAATATAGGTGTATAAGGGAGATATATATATACATTCTCCTCTTTATTTTACATTACAAGAGTTCATTTTTCAATGCTCTTTAACGTACCGTCGCAAGGTGATCGATGTCTCCTCCTTGAACACTACCTTATCATTTATTTCCGCGTATTGTTATATAAACGTTCGAACGAGTCTATGCACACTTCATTTATTCTAAAAACATATTCCTAACATACCGGATTTTAATACGTATTTCATAACAAATTAATGTGAGAAACATTTCATCCTGTTTCGTCATTAAAATTACATACATTCATACATATATACATACATATATAGATATTTCTATGTTACTATGAGAATTTCCTTCGAATATACTCAAAAAATTACGCTTTTTTTATTTTAGCATAATTTATTTCGCAACAGCTTTTTATTTTATATGTTCTTTGTTATGTATTGAAAAAAAAGAGATGTATATTCTTTCTATATAAAAGATTGTGATATAATATACATATACATTTAAGTAATGTTTATCTTGAATAAACTAGAAATATATACATATTTAATATTTTTCTTAAATTACGTTTTTTCTTCTTTCTGTTTGTTTTTTCTTTGGTTTATCTTCATAAGCAGTGTAATCATACATACACCTGTAACTGATCCAGTTCCGTGGTATAGTAAACATGATATTCTCTGTCTCCCTCCCTCCCTCTCTCTCTCTCTCTCTCTCTCTACTCTTTTTCCTTCTCCCTTTACCCCACTGTATCTCTATGTATATATCTCTGACACTTACTTTCACCTCATTCTACAACCCCTTCGTAGCAAAGCAGCACTGCATCGACATCGTCATAGCAACGAATCGAACCTATCCTTTTTCAAACAACTCAACCAAGCATAAGACGCCAGCGAAATCTATTAATCTTTACATCTTTCTCTTTCTCTCTCTTTCTCTTTCTTTCGTGCTTTAATTAACACATTTTTCGTACTTTTCTATTCAGTACACAAAGTGTCCCACGCAAAAAAAGAGCGTCTCGACGATGAGTGACATGCTGTCATTGAACGCAGCCGCAAGTCGCATAACACAGCTGACAAGAGAGAAGGTAATTTCTGATGTAAAGCGGCATACATTTCGAACGGTTTTTATTTATTTATTTTTTTTTTCTTTTTTCTTCTTTCTTTTTATTTTTATGTACTTTTAATCAACGTTTTTATTTACACTCGTTGAAACTAATTTATAGCAACAAAGAAAAGAAGAAAAAAAATTATTGTATTAGATTGAGAACAATAAGTAATATTGGGATTTTTTATATTTTATATTTAAGTAAACAATAATAATTTCGCCATGATTTATTAGACAATTTGATAACAACATTATTGATTATATTATAGTATAATATACTATCTACTAACTATATTATCTAAATAAACATTACTTGTATTATCCAACTTAATACTATTATAATATATACTATATTATAATATATACTATATTATAATACTATATTATAATATATATACTATATACTTATAATATATACTATATACTTATAATATATATATTATATACTATATAATATACTATATAATATACTATATAATATACTATATACTTATAGTATATATATTATAATATATACTATATTATAATATATACTATATTATAATACTATATATTATACTATACTCTCTAGTTCTTTTATTATAATATAATATTATAATATAATTTTATTATAATATAATTTTATTATAATATAATATAGTTATATTAGTAATGTATATTGTAATTATATAACTATATACTACATTGTTCTATTAGATCGGAAAATATAAATAATGTCTAATTTAAATATAAAATACTAAAAAATCAGTATTAAAGAATATTTGATAATAATATTCGATTGACTGCGTTTATTACAAAACTCGGCCGTGAAATATCGATGTAATTTCTTTATTATCAAAATGGTTCTCCTCAATGACGAATGTCGACCTCATGGTCGCTTTAAAATCGGCTAACAACTGTACAATGAACCTCGACCAATGAATGGACATGTGCCACTCGAATCAAGTTAAATCAATGCGTCGCGTTTACGCATTGAAGATTCCAATTGTATTCTTGAAAAAGAAAATAAATCGTTTGTGGTATTATTTGAAATAATGAAAAGTTATAGAATACTCAACAATTATATTTATTTTCTATCAAATTATCCCAGATTTATTTGTCATTTTTATTATACTTCCAAAGTTTTGCATTTTATTTTTTTTTCTTTTGTTTTTTATTTTAATATAATAAGAATGTAAAAGTAATTAAATTTAATGTATTGTCAAATAAATCGCAACCCAAACATACGGTGGTATATTATATATCTTTGTCATTTAAATGAAATAATATTGTGGGCGGACGTGCATTGATATGCAGTGACCATATTAACTGCTCTGTTTACTCTATCTTTGTTTGAACGCACGAACGAGAAAAAGGAAAAAAATTGAAGATTTAATTTAACGAATCTATTAATTCTTAATCAGGAGGAGAAACGTGCTCAAGAGCGCCGTAGAAATCTTCTACATCTCGTTGCTGCATTTTTGGAAGAGCAAGGGTGAACGGCTTTATTTAAATCCTTCACGAACAGCATATAATATGCACACAGTATATGAAATGTGTATTTTATTTTTTCATTTTTTTTATTTACGCCCAAAATTAAAATGAAATAATAATCAAATGAGACATTATCCATTGTCCTTCAGATACACTAATTCGGTCGATATGATCGTCAAAGAAGCCCAATTGTCCCGCGATGTCCAAATTTGCGACAACGTCGATCTGGAGATTATTTTGTTGGAATATTCGGATTATCATTATGCGAGATTCAATAAGTATCCGAAGTTATGTAAAAAATTCGAATCGGCTGGGAAAATCAATCACAACATGTAAAATAACATTTGCCTTTTTATACGGAGAAAGGATAAAAAAAAAATAAAAAATTCGAATATGTTCAACGGGACTCTTTTTCTAGGGTAAATAAAAGGGACAGAAGAGTTGGAAAGGGTCATTTTAGATTCGATGATGAAAATGGAACATCAAAGAATACAATTCCATCGTCGAAGCCAACGACGAATGGAGTTGCCATCGAAGAATCAAATTTTGGCATCACCGTAATGCCTGTTTTTCCATCGGAAAACACTCATTCAAAAGCGATTGGCTATGACTTTATTTCCGATAATGAAAGAACATTAAAGCCTATTGGAGATTTATATCCGTCTGGCTCGGAATGGAGAGAAATCGCTGAAGTTATTTCAAGAGTGTGTAATTAAAAAGATTGCATCTGAATTATTTAAATACTTCATTAAATTTCATTCCATAGAATATATTTTCTGACGTATTATTGTTAAAACGAAAATTATTTATTTAAATATATAGGAGATTGTACTGAGAGATTTGAACGTCCATTGGAACGATATCAAGGGTTTAAAAAAATGCAAAATGTTATTAAAAGAAGCGACCGTTTATGCGATCAAATATCCTGCGTTATTCAATGAAAAACTTGGTCCCTGGAAGGGTGTATTATTATACGGCCCACCGGGTACAGGTATATGATGATGAAAAATAAATAATAAATAAATAAATAAATAAATAAATAAATAAATAAAAATGGAAAGATTGAAAAGAATAAATAATAACGAGAATCGATCATTTACAGGTAAAACTATGCTTGCCAAAGCAGTTGCCACTGAATGTCGAGCTACCTTCTTTAATATCACATCAAGCTCTTTAATTAGTAAATGGAGAGGTGATTCAGAAAAGTACGTTAGAGTAAGTATACATTAGAAAGTATTACATACGTACGTTTTTACCATAAGTATATTATACGTTTTAGATGTATATATATATACATGTATTTGCATGTATATATATATATATATTGTATATATATAATAGATGAATGAATTTAGGTCCTTACCGACCTTGCAAGATTTTATGCTCCAACAATAATATTTATCGATGAAATCGATTGGACGACTACAAATAGTGGTGACGATTATTCTTCAATAAATTCTGAACCTGCTAGACGATTTAGAGCAGAACTTCTTGCCAGATTAGATGGATTACTTTCTACAGAGAATGTTAATGTTACTCTTTTAGCTGCTACGAATGTACCGTGGTATGTGTTAGAGAAGAATAATACATATAAAAAAAAAAAAGAAAGATATAAGGCAATGAGTATAAAAGTGATCTATAGTATATTTTTCTATAAAAATTTTATAAAAATTATTTGTCTACAATGATAAATAGGAAAAGTATCTGTAAATATCTATTCTTAAAAAATAATTTCCTTTTATGTAATTTTGGAATATAAAGAATAATACAAAGAGACGAAATATACTTTTTAATATCTCAAATGACTTAGATCACTTTTGTAACCATCGGTTCATATACGTTATACTATATTGTTCTTATATTTACAATATGTAACTGTAGGAATTTAGATGCTGCTTTGTTAAGACGATTGGAGAAACGTATTTTTGTCGATCTGCCAGATTACGAAAGTCGCTTAGAAATTTTACGAACATATGTTGAAAGCGATCTACATGTGACTGAGGAGTTCAAATCGCTTTTAAAAGATACAGAGGGTTATTCATGCGCTGACCTAAAATTACTCTGCAAAGAAGCATGGATGAATCAATTGCGACCTATTTTTAAATCTCTTGAACACAAGAAAATTGCACCGGAAGACGTACAAAGTAACGGTATAATAGTTAACATTGGACATCTCGTAAACGCAATGGCGTTTGTAAAACCCATTGTAAAATATATGAAACCACGATATATACAATGGAGTAAAAACTTCGGTTCTTCTACCTGCGAAATTTAGCACACACGATTAGGTGAATCAATATATTTATAAAGACTATAGTTGAATATTAAATAAATAAATTCTTCTCTTGTGAGAAACTTTTCTAAACATTTTCTTTTTTTGTTTTTTATCATTAATAGTAATACAATGCATATTAAAGATGAAAAGAAGATATATTTCGTAAGTGATATAATTAATTGTTATTCTTATGAAATCAACAATTCTTTCTTTTCAGATGATTGTCCCTCGCATGTTTCAAACCATGATAGTATCCTGTAGAGACATTTTTTATACTTAATTTTATAAGACTTCTTAGAATACAATTTAGAAATCACAGAAATGTACATTTAAAAATAATATTTAATACCCGTATGAAATCCACTGATGTACCATGACATTAACATACTTGAAAGAGCATCAGCATCATTTTCTGGAAGCCTAAACATAATAATAAGTCATAAAATAGATGTAAATCTTAATTTCATGTACTTGTACTTACTTAGCCATTAATTGAGGTGGTAAAGGAGGGGCAGGAGGCATCATATTTAAGAAAGAATTAAACGATGAGTCCGAATTGATAAAGTTTTGAGATGCTTTTGCTTCAAAATCAAATTCCATATTTTCATCAACAACGCCATTAACTTTCTTAGCACTAGAATCAAAACAATCTGTCTCACTCTGATCCATATTTTCTTCAGTACATCTTTCTGCTAGCGCATCCTTTTGCTGGGCAATTTGACTTTGTAATCCTTCTGATTCTAAAAGACTGCTCAATTCTACCTTTTCTGTATTGCCATAACCTAAAATTACAAGGATAGTAATAAGAATATATAATAGAATATTATCTATATAAAAAATATCTCATAAATAATTAAATTAAAGTATCATAATAAATTTATACTAATTACCTACAAATTTTACAATACATGTTCCACAATTCTCATAAATTTTTGTTATAATAGCTTCATAAACTTCACCATCTTCTGAATATACAGCGCGACACGGAGATCCAATACACCATTTCTATAAAAAAAAAAATAATTTAATTATAACATAATATTTATCATTTAATAGTCATTACAACCTTCTTCTGTTTACGAGATTGTTTCTGTTGTTGTGGTTTTAATTTAGAAACAGAACTTGAAACATCAATACCAATTCGTTTAGCAACTTCTTCCTTAGCCAAATTTATAGCTTTATCATATGCTTTTATCAACGCCGTATCATCCCAAACAAAATCAATATCGCTATCATCATCTTCCTATAAAATTTGAAAATATCATTATATAAATATACTAATATTGATAAAAAATTAAAATAATCAGAATTATATTAAATACTAATAATACAAGTTATATATAAACAAAGCCATGATTATCTATAACGAAAGAATCTGATTATGGATAAATTTTATAAAATAATAAGTGCATACATTTCCATTTCCTCTTACAAATAATACATTGCTGTCATCTGCCATTTTCACAAATATTTATTTTATAAAATAAATTCTTTGTAGATATTAAAAAAAAAATTGACCTTTTTTTTATTATATTTATATAAGATGCATGACTGTAAACAAATGTAAGAATAGTTAGTTCACATGTCACAAATAAGAATCATAAAACACTATGATTTGGAATAGGTGAAAGGAGCAAGACCATACTAACGCGCAGAATTTTTGCGCAGTCCAATTTCGCGCGAATATATGATCTATTCGCGCACAATATTAAGCGCATATTTAAGTCAAAAAATTGGCCTGAATAAATTAATCGATAAACATTTAATCAAAACGTCATTTCTTTAAAAGTTAACAAAAAATTTTAAGTCATAAAAGAAAAAGAAACATTTTTAACAAAACTTTTAATATGCGCATGCGTAATGATATTAAAGCTCGTATCAGTCAATTCATTCAACTCGTGCCCATCTGTATAGAGTTTGAATTACTGATACAAGCAGTGTTAAAAGCAATGCTGCCATTTCTACCAGTCATTAAAAATGAATTTCCCTTTCGTAAATGTATCGTCGGCTTGTAATTTAACCATTTTATTGTATATATATTTATACGAATACGTGTTTCTTTGAATCAGTAATGTACAGGAAAAAAATGGCAACTGGTTAAATTGTGTTTATGATACAGAGATTTTTGTCATTTCTCTCGTGTATTCTATCTACTCTAGCTTGAATCAATGATTTTTCAAGGATATACCTGCAAAAGGTTCTTTAGTTGGAGAAACTCACTCAATGTTTAGTGGGCTTTGACTTTGAGATACAAATATTTAATTGTATTAGACCGTGGCGTAAGTGACAATCAAAATTAAAGCCACAGTCAAACACACCTCATTCTCATAGCATGAATTCAATTACATGTATTGTGTGTAGTTGTTATGTCTCAATCGTGAGATATGTTAATGCCTATGAAAATTTTACTGAGCAAAATCAAAATTTTATTGAAGCTTGTTATCTATCCAAGAATTTCCTTTATTAAACGCTGTACATATCCAATCTAAATAATTTTTATGTTGTGTGTATATGCACATTTCATAAATGACAAATAATTAGTTTGATTTATTCTACATGCTATACATGTACAGAATTTAAAAAAGGTTTTATAGAAAGAAAGAAAAAAATAACTTATTCTTTTAGAATAAACAATTTGCACAATCTATTTTGCATTAACATTAATCTGTGAACCATGCCTGGAGAACCATCCGTAACAAGCGCTAACAAAGCAAGCGGAAAAACGAAAAGAATCTCAATACCTCGTGTACAAAGCAGCACAGATACAGAATTGCAGTCACAACAGAGTCAAAGTGGCTCTACACCATTACAGCCTGTAGCACTGCACTATGTAAGCTTTCGATCAGATATCGAGGAAAGTCCTATACCACCCACATTGCGTTGTCGATTATTTGACCTATTTCAACAAATTGAAAAAGAATTTGAGATGCTCTGCACAGAAAATCTTGGATGTAAGGTTTCACAGCATCTTAGATTTAATCTTATCTGTTGGGTTGCGCTGGAATTATTATAAATAATTAATATATTTCACAGAAATATCAGGAGTATATCAATATTGTAATGTGTATCGCACTGCACTTTTGGTGTTCGCATTATGGGGAATCTTACTATTGAAGGCATGGATGTAAAACAGTATTTATATAAATTTGTATTAGAAAAATATTGGAAACAAAACTATTAACCAGTTAGTAGATCGTAGTTTTCTGTGCACAATTTGTATCGTAATTAGATTATTCAGTAGAAGTAAATATATAATTGTTAAGTTTTAATGAACTAAGTATATATATATACTCAGTGCAATCCAATAGAAAATACTGTTTGATTTGTAAGATATATTTAAAAATTAAAAATTTTAAAACAGTACAGGAGAAAATAGATATATTGAATGATCGTCTGGAAAGGGAATGCTATGGATCTGGAGAACGCAGCCTACCTCCAGGGGACATTCCAGACTACCCAGATACAAAAGCACTTTCAAAACAAAAATGTAAAAAATTTATTTATTATGCTTATTTGTATAGAACTAAAGTAGTATAACTGCTATTTAATATCCCTAATTAATATTCAATTGAATCATTGCAGCTATGGTTGGCTCATCTGCCCAGAAAATAAAGACTTCACACAAACTCAAAGCTCAAACTAGTAAAATTGTATCAAGTTTTAAGAATCCCACTATGTCCTGTACTATGCAAAGAGAATATGTTGGTCATAGAGATGGTGTATGGGAAGTTTCAGTAGGTAGATTGGGTCAACCAATTATAGCAACTGCTTCTGCAGATCATACAGCACGAGTTTGGGCATCAGATTCTGGACGCTGTTTACTACAATATATAGGTCATAATGGTTCTGTAAATTCTGTTAGATTTCATCCAACTAGGGATCTTGCTTTGACAGCAAGCGGAGATGGTTCTGCTCATGTATGGCAAGCAGCAGTTGATTGGGATTTGCCTAAAAGAGTACCATCTATGGAAGAGCTTCCAACAATGGGTGCAGAAAGAACAGCTGCAAGCAGCATTATTAGTAACAATGAGGAACAAGAGGAACCTCCTACTTTACGAACTCCAATACGAGAACTATTAGGTCATACGGGTGTTATTATGGCAGCAGATTGGTTACCTGGTGCTGAACAAATAGTTACAGCATCATGGGATAGAACTGCAAACTTATATGATGCAGAAACTGGAGAAATAATTCATACTCTCTGTGGACATGATCAAGAACTATCACATGTATCCACTCATTATATGCAAAGATTATGTGTCACATCAAGTCGGGATAGTACATTTCGTCTGTGGGATTTTAGAGAACCTATACATTCCGTATCTGTTTTTCAAGGTCACACAGAGTAAGTGCAAAATTTAGTTTTTCATAAAATTACTTATCTATATCTAGTACTTTATCAATGTATATTTCTGATATAGAACAGTAACTTCAGCAGTTTTTACACGAGAGGATAAAATAGTCTCAGGGTCTGACGATAGAAGTGTCAAAGTATGGGAATTACGTAATATAAGAAGTCCTTTAGCAACAATTCGTGGTGATAGCGCTGCTAACAGATTGGCTGTTTCAAGTACAGGAATTGTAGCTATACCGCATGACAATAGACAAATACGTCTTTTTGATTTAACTGGACAACGTTTGGCAAGATTGCCTAGGACTAGTAGACAGGTAAATATTAAAATAATTTTGAACGAATATGAGTAGCCATAAAAAATAGCTATAAAAAATTTGATAATATTCAATAATTATATATCATTTCCATTTATATTTTTAAATATTGTAAAATTATACAACATAGAAAATTACAAATTTTTTTAAAAACAAATGTATCATAAAATGTAATAATATACTATTAAAATTATTATTTTAGGGACATCGCAGAATGGTCTGTTCTGTAGCATGGGCAGAAGATAGTAGTAGTATTTGTAATTTGTTTTCTTGTGGATTTGATAGATTAGTAGTAGGATGGAGTATTCTTCCTGTTAAGGATGCCTGAGCGTCAAAATCCGTTATTAGATCAATCCTTACGTTAGAATAATGTTGATCACAAAGGCAATATAGAAACAAAATTAGAAATGTAATCGCAAACCAAAAATCCAGTGATCAATCCAATCAAAGATCCACTTTTCCCAGTCTTACAGACAACTGTAATGAATAATTATATTAAGCAGAAGAATACTGGTACATAATGTATAATATCAGCTATAATTTAAAATGAATCAATAAATGATGAACTTATTGATAAATTTATGTATAGATTAAATGTGAAAACTTTCTGGTCATTACAGTGCAATGTAATACGTTATCTATCATTTTTGATAAACGTATACATTTACCTGAATACGCTGTCATAAGGCATAAAACTGTATAGCCCTGAACAAATATGTAATGTAGATCTAATCCTATAGGTTCCCATACAATAGATAATAATCCAAACAACTTTGAACATCCTCCCACAATAAGTGCTCTAGTTAAATCTTTGGCATTATATTTGTGTGGCCTTTTTCTGCTAAGCAACCAACGTAATTCAGTTACAATAATTACAGTAGCAATAAATACTGTCAATGTAATGGCAGTTTGTAATAGCAGAATATAAAAATTACAGTCTCCTTGAAATACATCTCTATTGCCTATATCTATATTGGTTTTTTGACTATTAACAGATTCACAAAAAGACCAAGCTCTGAAGGCTTCAGCCAACCATAACATTACCATTAACTTCCAATATGATTTAAAATTACTATTATATAAAAGGTGCTGATAGGCTTGTTTCTCTAATAAAATAAGATCAACGAATACAATAACAGGATCATATTCGATGTATTTGTCAGCTAATAATCCACATTTGACCTGCAATAAAACATTGAATAAAAAAATTGTGTAAAGAAAAATTAATATACAAACTTACACATTTCAAAACTTTAAGCACACTTGGACAATATCGTCTATAAAGTTCCTCTGTTTCAGTTCCACAATTTATACAGATATACATGAGATAAAATCTGCAAATACATAAAAATATTTTGATAAACTAAAACAGATTTTTTTCAATTGCATTTATTTTTCTGTAATTCAAAAAAGTTAATTGGGACATCAGCTTCATATGATTGTTCTACTTTTTTTGTATTTGATAGTTCTATATTTCCTATATGGAAAGAAAATAAATATTTACAGTATCTATACAACGAATTTGAATATATAATATTGAATATAATTAAAACAAAACATTTCAAAATTACATTTAAAAAGAGAGAAATGATTTAATTTTTTGTATATAGGATGAGTCATTTAATAGAATAAAATATTACAAAACTGTTCTTACATTATTCTATTTAAAATATTTTCAATACGCGATAATGTCTTTAGTTTATGCATAATTATGAGAATACATATAAAACCGATGATTCAGAACATACCGTTTGCTGACACATATTTCTATCAAGGTCAGAGAAACTTCTTCCGTGTTTTTACTTATCATACTTACCATAGATAATGGAATTCTTTTAAATATACCGATTGATTCATATTAAAGAAATATTCGAAATTATAAAACTATCACACATATTTTAAATTATAGTTCAGTTATCTTATCAATCTTATCAAGACGCAACAATCTCTTATATAATATCTCCTACAGCATATCTCCTACGTAAGATCTTTTACGATAAATTTCGTGATAAACGATATTTATGAAATATAATAAATATTTAGTGCAATAAATGTAACATTTAATATAAATGATTGTAAAGATATAGAAATAACTTAAATGCGGAGTGGAATGGATATGGTGAAAGTGAAATGGATAGAGTTGTTGTTTATGTAATAATATAAAAATGAAATAAAAATTTAAAATAATTTAATAATATGAAATACACATTAATCCATTCGCTATCATACCGCGAAGGAGAAAATCCTATCGCAAGCCGTTTTTTCTTCGAATTTTTGTATAATCTAAATACAAATAAATTATATATAATTTATAAATTTCTTCGTTTTATTTTCTTTATTTTATCATATCAATATATATTCAAAATGAATATTATATACAGATAAACATTATACATAGCGATAAATATTAAGCAGACATATTAGCCTTGAATAAACATACAAGGACATTATTAGATTGAAAGTAAAACGTAGTGTATATTAACTCGTGGTGGGGTAGTTAAAAGGAAATATCAGTTCCAAATTGAACAGTATAGATATTGTTTTCTCCAAAGACGGTGTTAAACCAATTTACTTCTGTTATCCAAATAAGATATTGTATTTTACAATATATTTACAACTTTACGATATAAACATGGTGATAAAAAAATTCATATCTTTACCAACTGGACAGCAAATACCAATATTGGGATTTGGTACCTGGCAGGTAAGATTATAAATTGGTAATTCATTTGAAATATTAAAAAACGTTTTATCATATCCTATTTTTAAAACTTTAAAATTATATAAAAGAACTATTTTTCAAGAATAAATACATTTAATTTTTTGTACTTGTTATTATAAAAAAATAATTCTTAAATAAATCAAGTCCAGATATCGAAATATTTCTAAATAAAAAATATGACACACCACTTTTATAATTATCTGCTCATATATACATAAATAATTATTTGTTTATACTTCATTGTATTAATATAATATAAAATAAAAGACCAGTGAAGATGAAATAGAAAAGGCATTAGATATAGCTCTTGAAGCAGGCTATAGACATATTGATACTGCTACAGTATATTTGAATGAAAAAGCCATTGGTAAGATTCTAAAAAAATGGATAGACTCTGGCAAAATTCAACGATCTGAACTTTTTATTGTGACGAAGGTGAGAATTCCACTTATATCATAAAATAATTATTTATTTTTTTGATAACTTACTAAAATTATCATTAAATATGTTAACATATTTCTAATGTATAACATATATAAAATAACTTTGTTTTTACTAGATAAGACAAAATGTAGGGTGATTGTCAAAGATAGATTTCTATTTGACTTTCTAATATTGAATCAAAATATTATATACAGTAATGATAAATATTATAATAAATTTTAGTTACCAACAATTGGTAATCGTCCAGGAGGTGTTGAAAAATGGATAAAGAAATCTCTAGCAAATTTACAACTAGATTATATAGATCTTTACTTGATACATGTGCCATTTACACTTGAAGAAGTTGGAGAGGAATTTCATCCAACAAATGAGAAAGGAGAAATTAAGTTGGATACTTGTACAGATCATGTGAAAGTTTGGAAGGAGATGGAAGAGCAAGTTAAACAAGGACGAACAAAAGCTATAGGTCTTTCGAATTTTAATAAAACTCAAATAAATAAGATTTTATCGATTGCATCTTTACCAATCTCTAATTTACAAATAGAGTTACATGTATACTTCCAACAACTTGAACTAGTAAGTATGGTAATATCTTATAAAGTAATATTTTATATATGGATTTAAAAAAATAATGGAAAAAAAACCATGCATTATAGGTTAAATTTTGTAAAAGTAATAATATTTGTGTGACTGCATATTCACCTTTGGGTTCTCGAGGATTGGTGAGATTAATGGGAAAGACGGATGTCCTTCCTGATTTATTAGCCAATCCTGTTGTTATAAAGATCGCACAGAAACATAATAAGTCTCCAGCTCAAATTTTGCTAAAACATATTCTTCATAAAGACATTGTAGCAATTCCAAAAAGTACAAATGCACAACGAATCAAAGAAAATATACAATTATTTGATTGGCAGCTTGAAGACAAAGACATAAATGAATTGAATGCTCTAAACGTAGGAAAATCTGCACGTATATGTGATTTTAGTTTCTTTAAAGGTATTCAAAAACATCCTGAATATCCGTTTTAAAAACTTTAAACTCATAATCATATTATTATTTCAATACAATCGTATAAGAGCACAATATATAATATTTAATATTGAGATATAAATTTTATACTATTATAAGTGAATTGAATTTGTTAAGTGTGGTTATCAAAAAATTAAAATTACAATAAAAATATTAAAATAAGTTCTGATTATCCATAGTATTTTCTTTTTTTATATCATTACCTTATCACATTTTTTATCTATTTTTACAATTTATACAAATAGACCTGAATTAATAAAATGATGATTCTAACGTATTAAGTGACTAGATAATCAATATATATTCCTTATAATTCATTTAAATTATACATACCATTATTAAAATATTATACGATAAAAAAACACGTACTAATGGACATTTAAAATAGTATTAATCGAAACATTTATTTGTGGTTATGTTTTATATTTGGTACTTTAGATGTTTCTTGAATCCCCGAATGAGGTCGCTTTATAACGATTAAACAATTTATCGCAAGGCTTTTAGAATTTTTATGATTCAGACCCATTTTTAAAGACAATCATTTTTCGCAATCCATTCTTAACGATCTCTCCTTAATAAATATAAACTATTTTCTTTTTTTAATATTTAACGATATCTACACTTAGGAAATATCTGCTTTATCTTATCGAAATAATAACTTAGACATTAAAGTTATTTCTAGTTTAGAAATATTTTTCAATTTTAAATCAATTTACCACGCGCATATCAGAATACAGTGATATATTTGAGTTTACATTGAAAAATAAGCTGCCACTCCATTTACCAGTTCTATTTTGTGACTTAAATATTAAAAGATACAGTGAAAAAATAAATGTTAACAATACATGTTTTTTCATTGAATATATGGCACTGGTTAATTTTAATTCATTCAACCATAATATTGCGAGCAATTAATATTAATGATAGTAATATATATATATGTGTGTATTATTGTACATTAATTATCAATATAATTATCTAATTTGAATTGTTAACTATAATTTGTTTAAAAAATAGGTTCAATGATACAGGCTTTTATATAAATTATATAGACAATAGATATTATTAAATATTTGTACAATAAGTTATTCTCTTTGAACAGACGAAAACAACAAGAAGTTTTTCGACGATAGTCGGGCTCAGATAATAGACACTGACTACACAAATGACTAAATGTTAACACTGTATCATAATCACAATACAAGTATCTAATTGCTTAAATCCAAAGATAATACTACTTCTGCTGAAAGCTTTTTTGTTTCAACTTCTCGTAGTGTGCGTGCATCAGCTCTGAACCGGAAATGTTACACATAAAATTAGAATTAATAATACACTACATATGGTGCGTTTAAGTAACACAATACAAATCCTACAACGTCAAAGGGTAATTACGCTTTCTCGACCAGCACCAACGCCAATCCATTTTACTAAAAAAAATAATTTGTTATAATAAGATTTGTTAATGTTTCATCTTAACAGATCATAGTAGATGTTATATTTACCAGGTATATCCAAATATTGTTCTATGAATTGAATGTATTTTCGTGCATTATGCGGTAGCTTATCTATGGAACGCACACCTTCAGTCAAAGATAGCCATCCATCTACTTTCTCATATATAGCTTCAACTTTTCCCAATTCTGCTGTTGTACTTGGGAAATAATCTATTTCTTTTCCATTTATACGATACCCAACGCACACTTTCAATTCAGGTAATGTATCAAGAATATCCAATTTCGTTAAACATATAGAGGTATATCTGTAATAACAATTAATGAATTAAATTAGATTAATTTACACAAGATTAATTTACATACTACTTTTTATATTTTAATAAAATATATTAAGATATTTTTAGGAAAAATATAAACAACTTACCCATTAACCATTGATGTATATTTAAGCAATGTTAAATCAAGCCATCCACATCTTCTCTTCCTTTTTGTAGTTACTCCAAATTCATGACCTCTATTTTGAAGTAATTCTCCTGTTGCATCTAAAAGTTCTGTCGGGAAGGGACCATCTCCAACTCTTGTAGTATATGCTTTTACCACACCAATAATTTCACCTATTGTATTAGGTGGTAAACCAAGACCTGTGCAAACTCCACCTATACTGCAATTTGAACTTGTCACGTATGGATATGTTCCAAAATCAATATCCAGCATAGCAGCATTAGCACCTTCTACCAGCACCTTTTTATTTTCTTTTAAAGCCTGATGTAAGTATTGAACAGTTTCTTTTACAAGTGGCCTTACACGTTCAGCATAGCTATAAATAAATTTTTAAATTATTATTTTAAATTTTCATTTTTATTTTCATAAAAGTAATAAAGAAATCTTGATATTTATATTTACTCTTTATAACGCTCTAACTCTGCTTTTGTATCCACTTGTAAAGCAGGAAACATTTTTTGATATGAAAGTACTAGTGCATTGAACTTTTCAGTAAATATGTCAAAATCTCCCAAAAGATCTCCAATTCTAATTCCATTTCTTGTAGCTTTGCTGGAATAGGTTGGTCCTATACCTTTTTTTGTAGTTCCTAAAGACTGAGTTCCCTTTTCTAATTCTTGTAATCCATCCACCTGTTGATGTAAATCAAATACCAGATGTGCTCGATCTGATATAATGAGTTTATCTTTCCAATCTTTAAGTCCCTTGGTTTCATTTTTTGCTAATTCTTCAAAGAGACCTGGGAGGTGAACAACTACACCATTTCCTGTGAACAAAGTGGGAACATTTGTAATGAAATATCATGTTTTCTAAAAATATATGTATATATATGCATATAAATGACAAGAACATAAGTAATAAATTATATTAATTTTATCGATCGATGAAATTTATAAGAAGACAAAGAGAAAAGAATTATTATACATATATGTCTACTTCGTAAAATAAACAAGTAGAACAGTGTTCTAATTTCCTGCTTTCAAAAGATCATTTTATCTTATTACCATTGATTTCTTTGAATGGTTTAATTTTGGTTAATTTTATATGAATACCTAAACGTTGTATATTAAGCATTTTTGCATCTGTAGATTTTTATTTATTGTGGATTTAGCACAGTGGTCAGTGTATTAGATGATTGTTTTTTGGAGCACGAACCAGTCTATTAACTTTATTTGTTGATTTGAAAATATTACCTATAACGGATTTGCATCTGGGATTGATTATTCCACTAGGCAGAAGGTGAAAGTCGAATTCGGCACCTTCTACAACTACAGTATGCCCTGCATTATTTCCTCCCTGTGAAATTATAGTAATATTTGAAGAGCCAGGGCCTTTCACCAGCCATGAAAGAATCAATATAATTTGTTTATCTCATATAAATAGAAAATTTTGCAATATGATATTTTATATATGATAAATAAAAATTATCAAGTGCCAAAGAGCTAAAGAAGACTTCTTTTCTGATTTAAATTTTGACAGTTTATCAATTCTATTCTACTAATGAAATACTAAAATGAAATTTTTAATTATTTATAATGGTAATCATCAGTTACATCTACTATTATACTGTTTCACTCTTTGATAATAAAATACATAAATTTTTTTATCTAAAAAAAATGTATCATATCCTCTTCTACACTGATAATACATTTGAAAAACTAATTTTTCTATACTGCGTTACTTTTACAACGGTATATAAAACTAATAATATTTTATAATCTCATATTTTATTGTAATTTATAATCAAATAATTTATATAAAAAATAACATAGGTGTTAATTAACTATCTTAAGACAAAGATTTTTAACAAATTTCATATGGTATTGTGTTTTTATCTTAATTATTATTGCATATATATATATATAAAAAAAAAAAAAAAAAAAAAAAAAAAAATTAAAAAAAAAGTAATACAGAAATAAAAAAAAAATTATCTTACTTTTTTATTGTTTACTATAAGAATATAATTAAATAATCTGTATTAATAATATATATTATATCTATGAATAATACTTAAAAAAAATTATATAAGATTAGTAAAAAACCAATTTAAAGAAACACTTGAACATCATAAACGATCTTTTAAAGTTTAATTTGACTAATAAATGACAATTATGTAATGCCAGGTGTTGAATATAAAAGAGGTTATATATTTGTAACCGAAACATCTAAGATCCATTGAACAAATGACGTTTTTGTCTAAAAATATAACTGCTAACGATCAAAGTTCGTATTTCATACGTGATAAATCAAATAATATAATGCAAATAATTAGAACTATAATATCACAAACGGAAGCTCCTGAATGTGACAGATAAGAAAGAAAAAAGAGAGAAAAAAGAAATAACTGTATAATATAATGAATGTAAATAGGAGATACGTTTTCGACAGACATAGAGAAATAAATAAATAAATAAATAAATAAATAAATAAAAAAAAAACTGGATACTTAAGAATAATTGAAAGATTAAAAAACAATCGTTCGAAATCCCGAGAATTTTCGAGAAAAAAGAAAGATAAGAGATAAAAAAGTAAATCTTCAACGAATGTTTTACTTCGAAGGTAGCGCAGGCAATGTAAATATATAGTTTGAACAAGTGTAAAATATTGAAAAAGAGGCGGCAAACGACAAACATGTGCGTACTAATGTTCACATTGATCAATCAAAAAAAGAAAGAGCAAAAGAGAAAAGAATAGATAGAGATAGAGATCGAGATAGAAAGAGAGAGGGGGAGAGAGAGAGAGAAATAGGTAAAAAATAAAGAGAAAGAGATGTAAAGCAAATAAAAAAAATGTGAAATTCAAGAAAATACGTACTTGACATCTACAAACGATGTCAGCATCTGTTGCCAGCATATCCACAACCTTTCCCTTGCCCTCATCACCCCATTGCGCGCCAAGGACTACCGTGACCTTGGAAACGAGCCCACTCGTGGAAGTTCTCTGTTTTTTCCTGGGTGAGGCCGGATTACCATCACCGTTAGTCTGTTGAACGGAGTGTTGCATCCTCGTGCAAGAAGACATTTTCGTATTAAAATTTCTTAATGAAAATTCGTTCGAGGACTCGAATGAAATGATGGAGTTAAAGCAGCAGACACAACGTACACTCGTCGGAAGTCTCAATCCGTTACAGTCTGAACCAGCTGACGACACACGATATAGATGAAATAATAGTTCCGCTGCGTGCCACACACGCGCGCGCGTATGCGCAGAGAACAATAACGTAACGAAAAAATAAATCGCCCAACGACTAAGTTATAACGTTTAACCATTTTTATTTTTTTATACCTCATCTATCTACGGACATATGTATGCATAGCGACTTTTAACTGTCGATGATGTTAACTTCACGTGATATCATATGATGTATATATATATATCACACATCACACATGTGTGTGTATGTATGTTGTGTTTTATATATGCGATGCGTATAATGTTGGAACGACTTAATAAGTATCATTATTAGAAGAAATTTAATAAAAGTTTATTATAATAAAATTATAATAATACTTAGAAAAATTTTAAGAATTTCTTTATACTTTAAATAAAATAATTAATTTTATTATCGTAGAATGTACAATAAAGTTTCCGATTTTTTATAATAGTCGTTAAATGAAGAAATCTAACAATAAAATTGCGTTTTCAATTGAAAGTAAGTTGATTACCTCGGATTTGTCATTGATTGATCAACTGTAACAAAATCATTTCTTTGGAGTTTATTATAAATAGAACATTTCGCTTTTTTCTTTTTGTAGAATTAATTCATGACTGTAAATATGTGACTAGTTATTAACTACATGTACAAGTCTATCTTTTAATGATACCCTTCACCCCCTCTTGGCGTCACTACTTCACTTCTCGAGTTCAAATCGGCGCACGTCTTTCCAACGATCGTGTGATATTAAATTTTGACTCAAGGATTTCTAACAATGCGACATCTCTTGCTTCGAGAAATTTTAATGTCAATGTAAATTCTATACATATATAACTCGAATGTATACGTATAAGTGTCTTAATATTGCGTAAGCTGCGATTAGCTTACAATGATAAAAAAAAAACTAAGGATATTATTTATTCGAAGTATAATTTTTTGACGCCATTTTTACAATATCGATAGGTTAAATGATCATAAAAGATTGATTGTTCAATAAATATATATCCATCGATTTTATTAATTCCCGTAAATATAATCAAAATCGATTAATTCATCAACATAATTCAATTGGTTTCGAAAAAGTTTGTCATCGTGTTTACAAATGTCATCCATATTCTTTTCTTTTTTTTTTCCTTTTTTATACTATCTATTTAAAAATTATTACATATAAGCTTATTAATATTTATTATATACGTATGCACATTACTTATCGTTCCTATTCGTTATCGGAGAATAATTTAAATACATGAAATGTTTTTTTGTTTATCATAGTTTATGATAATCAATGAGATAAGAGCTTTGACGCGATGTAAAAAAAAAAGGGGAAAAAAAAGAAAAAAGAAGAAGAAACGAAGTAAACAAATAGTTAGTTAAATATATCATTCGATGGAATGACATGTTATGTATGTAGTTCAGCCATCATAGGTCGAAGAGGAAAGAAGCACGAAGTAGAGAGGTTCAATATTTACATCGACGAAATGGATCTATTACCGGATTACTCGACCCCCGTGGCTTTTTAATTATGTAAGCTCGAATAGATCGAGACATCTGCTACCCTATAGAAAAGCATTGCTTGCCGAAAGATCTCTCCCCTTCCCTTTTCCCTTCCTCCCTTTTTTTTCGAGTGATGTATACCGGGAGTATCAATTACATTGTTATTACCGTTGGTTGTTCCAAAGATGTGGTCGCAAGATAATGCACTGTTATAAGAGCATACACATAAAAGAGGGGCAGGTACAGCGTTAAACCGCCACCACTACTGGAACTAATGCAAGAGAGTTCCCTTATGCGAGGAAAGCGATAGCCATCGGTTCTTGTGCAACTATGCGTCTAATTTGGATTTACTACAAAATGGATATTCCTTAGCGAAAAAAAAGGTGGGGTGAGATCCATACGCTCACATGTATATATAAAGCAACGTAGGGCGAAGCCCTACAATATTTTCTTTACTAAGTCCGTGTTCTATCTTTCTATCGGGATGAATTCGTTCCAGAGATCACGCTCCGAAAAGAGTGACTTTAGTATAGCACGAATTTTGTCTGAAGATAATGATAAGGACAACGTAATGTCGCGGGATTCGAACAATCGTGTTAATGTCGTTCATCAATTTTATCAAAGTCAAAACATAACTGAAACTATCATTCATCGCGATATTACAAAAGTGTCGAATCTCGAGGACACACGTTTTTTCAATTCAAAGCAATGTCAACGAAGGACGATCGATCAAGACTCATTAGACAAGATGATAAACGAAGAAGATGGTACAAATGAAATCCAGGAAACTGCGCAGTCGCGTTCGATCAATGCGTACGAAGACGGAAAACACGAGATCGACGTGTCTTACGGGGAAACTCAAAGAAATGAGCTTGCCTGGTTACAATATACGAGATATAGACCACCGAAATTACCTAGAAGAAGCTTAATAGGGAGAAGTGCTAAAAGACGTCCAGGAGTACATCCACGGATACCTTTCTCTTCATTTCAACTTCAAATTCTCGAGGAAAGATACAAAAAAAATGCTTATTTATCAAGGAGAGACGCGCTCGATATATCAATGTCATTGAGACTACCTCAAAGTAGAGTAAGTTACTAGAATATATATTTATTTTCTCTTTTTTTTTCTTTCTCGATTTATTTCGTATATCTTTATTTATAATCACATGTTATATACAGTAGAATTTAGTGATATGTATTAAAAAAAAAAAAAAATAAAAAAAAATTGATCGTTATAATCGAATTAATGCAAATTAAAAATATATAAGTACAACATTCTCATGCATTACCGAGTTTATTAACGATACTACGCCAAAAAATCTTTTCTCTCGTTTTTGTACGTATATCTCTTCAGGACAATCAATAAATTCTCATGTTAGCGTAACATTTTCGTTTTTCTATGTTTTACGTTTATACAATTTGTTATTAATCGTACGAGCTATTTATCAGTTTATGTGTGTGTATGTGTGTACATTCGCGTGCGCTTACACACATATGCGAATGTTTATTTTTATTTTTTCAAATGATTTCATATTTTATACATTTACAGGTGAAGATTTGGTTTCAAAATCGTCGTGCACGGGATAGACGAGAATCAAATAATGTTATGGCAGTTACGTAAGAGAAGATAAAAGTGATAAAATGCAATAATCATGATGGGACGAAGAAAATAGGAAAATAAAAATTAATTAATATATTTTTGTTTACATGAACGATCTAAATTGCATGGACAATAATGATCGTGCACATAAAAATTTGTAATATCATTACAAATAGAATTATTATGTCGAGGGTGTCGATTAATTTTAACTTTTTAATTTGAATTTTTTATTCAAATACCCGAAAGTATTTAAAAAAAGTATTTATTTAACATCACGTTAATACAAAACGAGAGATATAATGGTACATATATTCTTTAATTTTATTTTTTCTTGTTTATATTTAATTTCTGTATAAGTTTGTACCTGTATACTTTTTATTGGTCCGTGCGATGCAACACGCTATCCTTATAACATCATTTCTCTTATTACAGAATATTTTATTACATACTACAATATAATAAGGATAATATCTTTTACTATATTACACATATATACTATAAATAAAATCGGATCATTTATTTAAATAGGTACTTAATTTACTTAAGTTTACATAAAATGTATATTTTATAACTTATAACAAGATGATTGTATTATATCAAACTGAAGTTCTAGAATAATCAATTCTGATGGAATTTCTTCAGTTTTTGTCAATGATGTAAACCAGCAACTTTTAATTTTTTGGGTTGACGAATTGCTCGTCCAGTTTCACTGTCTGAAGATTCCGATTCAGAATCATTGTAACCACCCATTCCAATTGAATCGGATTTAGACACCTCACATGTTTCTGCGGCAAAATTCCCAGTAATTTTTGCCTTCTCGAGTGTTCGTACTTTAAATAAATAAACAAAACAAAGAATATAATAAGATTAAATAAATAAATAATTTTTTTATAGATATTTTTTATAAGTCTTACTTTGAGTTTCCAATAAACTGTTTTGCCTTTTTAGATCATCGATGTCTTGTTGGTGAGAGGAATTCTTACGTCGCATGAATTGTATATACTCCGCTGCTTTTTTAAGTATTTGTGCTCTGCTAGCAACTTTCTCACCTTGTAAAGCAGGTACAGAATCCCTAAGGCTTGAAAAACTATCTTTGATATGATCTCTTCGTTTACGTTCTAAAGCATTATGATGTGCACGTTTTTCAGCCTATATATAAAATAGATACAACTTTATATATATTTTATAAAAATAAAAACATTAAGAAAAAATAATAACATTTATATACATATATATATATTATTTATTATTCTAACGTTAATAAAACATTCAACCAAACAGAAATTTATTTTAGATATACCTGGGAATAATATTGTGTGTTATTGGAATGTCTTTGCCTAGAATCAGAGTCGTCACCTTCCTGAGAACAAAATTTTTTGATATATTACTTACATCAACTAACCATGCATTTAATACTTACATCGCTTTCTATATCGATGTCTCGATCATCGTCGCTCATATTTATTTCTTATTTCTACAATATTATTAGTTAGTAAACAATAGTTCTATGACGCCAACTTATCTTTCTAAACAATAAAATCGACACGTTAAAATATATAGATATTTTGTCTAAGTACAACTGAATTTGTCTATGGTATTTATATATATGCTATTACCATATATATATATATATATATATATATATGCTTATTACTATATATATTTACCAACTATGAAATATATAGGTATTGTAATTTGGTTATGTTGGTACTCTTGCTTCATTTTGGTTCTATCTCCATGAAGATACCTATTTAATGTATAATCGATTTACAAATCGATTCTGATTGGTTTTTGTTAGGAACTGAGATGATGAAAATAGCGTTATTGGCGAGTAAACGTATGAAAATTAGTCTCTGTTTCTTACTATGAAAGTACATTTTGATCACGTATATTCTTTCTTTTTAATATCTACAAATTACACCTTTGAAAGTTTTTCATTTTATAATTGATACACATAACATTTAAATTGGCCGTTTTCTAATGTAAATAACAATATTGAGACGTCGCGAAGTACACACGCATGTTTAATATACTTTTAAAAGCTACCGTTCAAACAGCTGATTCAGCAAATGCACTTTTGACGCGTGGTGTTGTAAATGTAATATGAATATGAGTGACGTGTAGAATATCGGTACTTCTGTGATCAACATAGTTGTGTTAAATTCGTATATAAATCTATTGACTATTATGAGAATAAATTAATTTTTCGATCGTCAATGTCATATACTATTTAAAACGAAATATGTACGTTGACGTGTCTTAATGACGTAATTTCTTTAAAGAAAGATTCCTTGAAAATGTACACGTACACATTAGCAGTGATTGATTAAATATTTCTGAACATTAAATTTGCAATGAGGATACTAAAATTACCGGATCTCCCATGAGACTATATATCTAAAATTGTGAAAATATGAAGCCTAATCAAAGTGTTTTACTTTTCTTGTTCGCGTTGGTTATGTTTTCCATAGCAGAAACCGAAAATGGAGCGAAAAAACGAAGTGATATTACACGAAAAACTAATTCAAAGGAAGAAACAGAAGATAAGACTGTGGAGGATGTAGAAAATGTCTTTGAACATCTACACGAACTGAAAGCTTTACATGAAAGTATATTGAAATTTGTGCCAGATGCTCTTCTAAATGAAAAAATTCCTAAACAAATTAAAGAGGAATCAGAAAGCGAATCCGAAGAACCTGTGGAAAATACGTTAAGAAACGGAGAGTTATGGATGAAAACCATGATAAGTCAATCTAAAGATATGGATTTAATGAATACAAATATGCAATCTATAGAAGATGAAGATTTAACTTCTTGGGTTGACGAAGAACAGTATGAAAATTCTGAAGAAGAAGTGAGAGAACCTTTGACACCGGAACAACAAGAAGGTAAATGAAAATTATATATTAAATATTATATACTTTGTTTTCAATTTTAATAACATGAAATAGATTTAAGAATATTTTGTTCTCTTTTTAATAATTAACTATTATAACTAATTATTCTATAAATATCTTATTATGACTATATCTATTTTAGCCGAGCAATTGTTCAAAAATGCTCAAAGTTTGTTAAATGCAACACGTGCAAACAAATTGGAAGCTTACAAGTTACTAACAGTAGCAGCAACATTGGGACACAAGGAAGCTAGATCTATATTAGCATGGGCACAATTACTTGGAATTCCCATTAGTACTACTACTTCCCGGACTCTTATTCAAAATATTCCTGCTACATACCAAATCTTCAAAGAATTGTCCGAAACAGGCTTACCATCTGCTCATATGGTTTGCAAATAATCTAATAGAAGTATAGAATTATTAATAAAATGTTATAAAATCTAATACTCATCCTTTTTATAGGGTATGGGATTTTTATATGCAACTGGATTAGGTGGAGTCAATGCTTCTCAAGCAAAAGCTTTGCTACATTATACAATGGCAGCATTAGGGGATGATACTCGTGCACAAATGGCTTTAGGTTATAGACATTGGACAGGTGTCACAACTCCTGTTTCATGTGAACGAGCATTAGATTATTATCGAAAAGTAGCAAATAAAGTAGCAGAAGAAGTATCTCTTAGCGGTGGACCAGTTGTACAACGTGTCAGACTTTTAGATGAATATGAAAATCCTGGATACAGTTCTGGAATTTTTGATAGGGACTTAATAGAATATTATCAATTATTAGCTGAACAAGGAGATGTACAAGCTCAAGTAGGTCTTGGTCAACTTCATTATCAAGGAGGTAGAGGAGTTCCTTTGGATCATCAAAGAGCACTACAATATTTTCAACATGCTGCTGATGCAGGCAATCCTATTGCCATGGCATTTTTAGGAAAGGTATGAGGAAAAAGTAATCTTTTTTTATTTGTATGGTAAATTTGTCTTATTACATATTATTGTGTAGATTTACCTTGAGGGAAGTGATATTGTAAAACAAGATAATGAAACAGCATACATGTATTTCAAAAAAGCAGCTGATCTGGGAAATCCTGTTGGACAAAGCGGTTTAGGAATGATGTATTTATATGGAAAAGGTGTTGAAAGAGATACGGCCAAAGCTTTACAATACTTCAGTCAAGCTGCAGAACAAGGATGGGTAGATGGCCAACTTCAACTGGGCAATATGTATTTCAGTATGTATATATAATGAATATTATACTATTTCCAATTTTGGAGAGTTTATATAATACTTATAAAATATTCTCGATATATTTATATTTTATTATAAAAATATTTTTATAAGGTGGAACTGGAGTAAGAAAAGATTATAAATTGGCAAACAAGTATTTTAATTTGGCCAGTCAATCAGGCCATGTTTTAGCATATTATAATCTTGCTCAAATGCATGCAACTGGAACTGGCATGATGCGAAGTTGTCCAACAGCTGTAGAATTATTTAAAAATGTTGCTGAAAGAGGAAAATGGAGTGATCAATTAATGACAGCACATACCGACTATAGAGAAGGCAGAGTAGATGAAGCATTTGTCAACTATTACCTTCTTGCTGAAATGGGATACGAAGTGGCTCAGAGTAATGCAGCGTTTATTTTGGATAAAGGTGAAACTACAATCTTCTCTGAAGAGGAAGAATTAGTTCGAGCTTTACAACTTTGGGCAAGAGCGGCTGCTCAAGGATATTCTGCAGCGCAGGTAAAAATTTGTATGGTAAAATAAAATGATTGCAAAAATTTAATGTATATGCGAAAAAAATGTATTTTTCGATAGGTGAAACTTGGCGATGCTCATTACTATGGCAGAGGAACGAAAATAGACTACGAGGAAGCAGCAAGTCATTATCGTTCAGCTTCTGAACAGCAGCATAATGCTCAAGCTACGTTTAATTTGGGCTATATGCATGAACGTGGCCTAGGACTAGCAAAAGATCGTCATTTAGCTAAACGATGTTACGATTTAGCAGCGGAAACTAGTCCTGATGCACGAATACCTGTTGCTTTAGCCTTAATCAAACTTTCTTTCTTATTTGGACTTGACTATTTACAAGAATTTAGTTTAGTCGATCAATTAGATAAGTGGGATCAGTTGCTTGGTCAAAATTGGGATCTGTATTTAATCGGATTTCTTACAGGAATGCTTAGTCTTATCATATACTTCCGCAGGCCGCAGCCACCTCCCCCTCCAAGACCTGTACCTCCTATTAACTAAATTTTTATATTCTCCTGCATTTTGTGTATATGTGCTATTTTAAGCTAAGCTCGGAATATACTTTATAAAAGAACTTCGTTAAACTGACTGTGACATTGTTGATAATGAAATTTAAAGTTTCTTTCTCTAGAACTCTAAGTGATATAAGTTATATACATATAATGATTTTTTAATAATTTTTTGTCTTGTACAGTTTAACCACTTGTGAAGCTGATATAAAATTTTTTGAATATTTTATGTGCAAATGAAGAAAATATAAAAAAACTCGTACCATTAAATATATTGGTGATATTTTTGTCAATACACACTCATTCTTAAAAAACAAAATATTAATAAAAAAATTTTGATTATATCTGTAATGAAACGCATCTATATTATTTGCAATTTCTGAGCTTAGCTTCTAGATCGTTAAGTTTCATTGCAGAAAGAAAATCATCTGGAGATTAATATATTTCAATGTTATTTTTTTTTTTTTTTTTGCAATAGTATGATGAAATAAAATATCTCGGTTTCGTTTACTCTTTCAAAAATCAAATTTTACAATGCACATATATAATTTCAATGGATATACCCTAAAGAATCGGACTGCCTTTCCAAGTGGATAATTATACAGTGATTTTGTACAAATAAATAAATTAAAGAGTAATATTTCAAATGATATCATGTTTGTTATTTTAAATTGCAAATAGCATATATAGAACTCAACAAAAGCCATTGTGTGTGTGTAATATAATGAAATATGAGAATATTGTTAGTTATTTGTACAATAAAAGTGTTTCACCTTTATTATTCATCATATAACATTTTTTCTTGTATTTGTATCTGTATTACAATCAATAATGCTCCAAAATTTTCACTATGGCAACGATAATCAATGTATATCAAAGTCCATTATTGTGTGATGGAATAACCTACTTTATTTTCTATACTAAAAATTTATAGCATTTATCTAAACTATGATATTCTGTAAAAATTTGTCAAGTTTATAAAGATTATGTTTAGTTCACATTTTTCCAGTGATCATAATAAAAGTATTGAATATATGCAATACTTGTTAAATTTTAATTAACATTTATTAATAAGAATAAATTGACACATAAATAAAAATTAAAATGCCAAAAAAAAAACGTGGACCTAGAGATAAAAAGAGTAAAAAAAGTCCTTGGTTGAATGAAAGAGAAACATTATTTTATGAACAACAAATTTTGGATAATAATAGACAATTAGCACGGTATGATATACAATATCCGTATAATTACAAAACTACATAAAATTATATTATATGCTTGATATATGTAAATATTACAGACTGCGAACTACTAATGAAGAACTTGAGCATGAAGTTAAAACTATAAAACAACAGTTTACAAAACTTGAAGAAGATCGTTCAGATATCGTAGCATATTTAAAACGTAATTTAACAGAAAAAATTGAAGAGGCACGTGAAT